CTCCAGGGGATCTTCCTGACCCAGGGATGGAACCTGGGTCCCTGCATTGCAAGCAGATTCCTTACTGTCTGAGTCCCAGAGAAGCCCTAAATCAGGATGCTTCTCTTCAAACCCGGGCCCTCCTTTCTCCTCATCCTCAGCAAACCTGGTTGGTAAGCATTCCCTGGACTAAGGGTCTATATTTCACCTGTCGTCCCATCCAGCCCCAAGCCAGCCAGCTGCTGTCCCACACTCCCCGTGACTGGCACCCCTTCTAATGGAGGCAGAACGCAGGGGGCAGTAGGGGGCAGGGCGTGTCAGTGGTAGGTGGCAGAATGTATCCCAATTGCCCTGCCACTACCTGCAAACTTCACAGCAGTGATGGAGGATGAATGCTCGTCCAGTGTCTGCTGTAGGCTGTACTCCCGTCCAGCATCCAACACGTGGATCAGCCGGTCCCGGCTTGCTGACGCTAGGAGCTTCAGACCTGGGGTTGGAAGAACTCCATCAGCTCATGCATGCCCAGAGCACGCCCCTATCTGGGCCAAGCTAACAAGAACTGAGCACCATATCCCTAAGCCAAGCCAACCATGGAGATGGGGCAGAGCTGCCCTCCTCTCAATCTGCAAAGACACCAAATGATTCAAAGGATTTTCAGTCCCACATCCAACAGCCAGGATCGATGTAAGTGGCACTAGCAGGACAAGAGGAGCCTAAGCCTCTGGCATGGGTACCAGACATCCTCTTTACCTGTATTTGGCTTAGAGTACTCCAGGCACAGGATTTCCGAGTCATGGGCCTCCACCTTCAGCATCTCATTTAGGGACTGCAGTTCATGCACCCTGCAGAGATAAGGAGAGGCAGGAGGAGGTCACTGCCGGGCTGCAGGAAGACAGACTCACTCTGCTTTCTCTGTTACATCCTCTCTCCTGACCTTTTTTAAAATTTATTTTTGAACTTTCAGGTTAGAGAAAAGTTGAAATAAGTACAGAGAGTTTCCATATTCCCCTTACCTAGCTTTCCCTAATGTGATCATCTTACATAACAACAGTCCACTTACCAGAACGAGGAAGTTTACATCGGTACAATACTAGGATCTAAAGGTTCTACTTGAATTCCACCAGTTTTCCCACAATGTCCTCTTTCTGCATCTACAATCCTATCCAGAGTCCAACCGCATTGAGTTATTATTTCTCCCGAGTTTCCTGTCTGTAACAGTTCTTCAGTCTTTGCTTCCCTTTCATAATCTGGACACTTGGGAAGAGTACTGATTAGTGCAGGTGCTCGGTCATATGTATCTCAATTTGAGTTAGTCTGATGTTTTCTCATGATGGGACCGAGCTTCTAAAATTTTGGCAAGAATACCACAGAAAAACTGCTATGTCCTTCTGTAGAGCATTGTATTATCGGGTTTATGATGTTGATATGCGAATGTAAGCCTGATTACTTGATTAGAACGGTTTCTGCTGGGTTTCTTGACTATAATTATCTTTCCCTTGTATATGAATATCTTTTCCCCAATCTTTTTGAGCCAAGCTTTTCAAAAGCTCTATCCTTGGGGACCTAACTCCCCTCAGTCCACACCACCAGAGGCAGGTGGTACCCAAGGCAGAGCTGGCTTTACCTGAGAGTGCCCACACGGTCCCCTGAAGCGAGATGCTGTCCATTGGGGCTGATACACACAGAACGAATGCCCACGCGGGGATCCATCAGGGACCCATCAGCTTTGTCTCCCCCGGGCAGCTCAGTGTCCAGCAGGGCCTGAGTGTTCCCATCCACATAGATGATCTTAATGAGGTCCTGGTGGAGCAGGTCAGAAGTGGGTAAGACAGGTCTGATCAGTACAGGGGCAAGAGGAGAGGAATGCTGGACAAGACAAAGCCCTGACTTGCAGAGGAAGGCGACATAAGAACTCAGAGGTCAAGTCTGGGGACCCAGTTCCTGAGAAGTAGCATGAAGGCAAGGGAACACAGGCATTCGGCATGGAGGGGCCCAGGCTCACATTGCTGAGGATGTTCCGGTGCAGCGTGGAGCCATGCACCCCGGAGCTCTCTGTGTTCCACAGGCGGATGGTGTTGTCGGAGGAACAGGTGATAAAGGAACTGGGGGGCAGGCAGGCCTGGTTACTGTCCTTCACTTCAGGGTAGACCTGAAGGGGCAGAGGGTACAAAGTCGGAGCTCCAGGCAGGCAGCAGTCGCTTGCCAGTCCACGGAGACAGAAGGGAATGAGACTAAGGAGCTGTTGTTGGCCAAGGCTGAGCCCAGAGTCACATGGTAAGCAAACTGCAACTATTAGATATTGTTCAAATCACTGAGGGAAAGCACATTCACCAAATAGCAGGTACTCTTCTATGCTTACTATGAAACCCTCCACTCACAGTTTTTCACTTAATTCTTAAAACAATTAGATGAATTAAGTACATCATTGTACCAATGAGGAAACGAGACTCAGGTAAGTTCAGTAACTTGTTCAAGATAATCCAACCCAGGACAAGGCAGAGCTGAGGATGGACAGGGGCCCATTGGAAGAAGCCTGAGACGTTTAAGCACTAAAATTCAAGATCGATCCCCAGGACCCATCTGAGGATATGTGGATACACAGGGCTGCTGCTGAAGAAAGGAGGAGGGAGCAGGAACACAGTGTTCTGCTTGGGGATCCTCACTCTCCATCCTCACAATGTGTCCAAGCCAGGTCACCTACCTCCACACTCCAGACGCAGGAAGAATGATACAGAGCCGAATACACCTTGCCCACTTTCTTGGGGTCCCTCACATCCCAAACATAAATGCTGTGGTCGTTGTACACACAAGACAGCCACTGATTAGTAGGATCGAAGGTCAAGGCGATAGTGTCTGGATATCTGGCATTGGCTGCTCCAGAGAAGAGGCGACTGGGGAAGAAGACAGTGCAAAGTGGTGAGTGAGGAGCTGTGGAAATGAGGGAATGAAAACAGAAGCCAAGCCACAAAGCAAGGAGCAGAGCATGAGAGCCCTCTCCAGACCCACAGGTTTGGAACCAGCTGCTTGAGAGGAAAGCACTGCTCTGACAGCTCTCGGCTGGGAGCCGCCCCAGCACGAGCTGCCGGACCACATGCTCTCCTGACAAGCACGGACCAGGTCTCAAAACACCAACGGCAGACAAGGTGCCTGTGGCCACAATGGAGCAAAACAAAAACAAGACCACTCTGCAGTGGTTCTGAGACAGATAAAAACAAGATCACTGCACCAGCTACAGAGAAGACCGATCATCACCCTTTCCCATCTTTCAGGACTGACTGCTATTCCTTTACCAATCAGTTACAGCTTTAGCACCACACCTTTCCTTCTACCTTTCAGACATAAATTATTAAATGCCCAATTGTGGAATTGCCCCCGCTCCCCCTGCCAGTTCCTCACAGCATCCAGCCGAAGCAAAACTTCAGTCCCTGAACCAGTCCTAAAATCACTGAATGCAAACCCAAATCTGACACTAAGCCCCCCCTGACACCTGCATACAGAGATACTCCATGGTCCCCCGCGATATTCCATGTACTCATACAGTCAAATCTGTGTTTCGGCAGAGACGTTCCTGTAATCTTTGGGGTGCTGATACCTTCACCTTGAAGCAGAGGCAAAGAAGGCTGGGTGCAGAATCAAGTTCTGAAATGGAGGCAGGGGTCCCGCATAGCTCACCTGGCCTCCGTGACACTGGCGATGTCTGTCCCCAGGGCGTGGGGCCGGGGCAGGGTGCTGAGGAAGTGCAGGTTGGAGGGGTTGAAGAGGCGCACGGTGCCATCAGCGCAGCCACAGAAGATGTAGTCCTGGCTCACGGAGATGCAGTGGGCCACGGTGGTCTGCAGGCAGAGGGGCTCGGCTCAGCAAGGGCCACCCTCTCAACCCCTCCTCAACAGTCACCTGCCTAAAGGAGACACCCACCAAGGCAGGGGCGAGGGGAAAGTGGCCCAGCTGCACAGGCCTGAGCCCCTCAGCTATTACCTAGAGACACCCGCCCTCCAGCAGCAGGTGGCCAGAGGGCCCACATCCACGTGCGGACTGGGGATGGGAGTTTGGGAGCCTTGGAAGGCACCAGTGGTTTTGGCCAAGAGGACAAAACAGAAAAAGCCCAGCAAAGAGAAAGGAACAGCATGAGAAAGAGGGGAAGAGTCTAGTACCACTTACTGTGAAGCTGTCTGTGTTCTGAGCAGAAGAGGAAAGCAAGGGAAAGAAAGACAGAAAGAGAGAGCAGAGAGGAGGCAGTTACACCCATCTGCATGGGCTGGAACCCGGCCAAGCACTGGCCTCAAGCTTCCTCCTCCTGGGGACCCCTCCCACGTGCAGGCCCCGCCCCTGGGGCGGAGCCATGGGCAGCAGCTCTGCCCTGGGCGAAGACCCAGGCAGCCCCCACCCAGCTGGACAGAGGTACTTACTCTCAGCTCCACCCACTTGTCCAGAAGCCTCCGGTCACTGAACTCGCACAGCAGCCCTGAGGACGTGATGCAGAAGGTGCTGTCTGCCTTCTTCCCTCTGCCACAGGCCACGTCAGTGAACAGGTTGTTCCGCAGCTCGCCCAGCAGCCCTGAGCGGCCCAGCAGGGGCACAGTGGCGTTAACCTGCGGAGACACACCGCTGCTGCCCACCCATCCGCCCTTCAGCCACCCCAGAGACTTGGCCTGGGGAGAGGGTTCCAAGAGACACAGCAAGTCCCCCCACTGCCTGCCCTGTGAGACTATCCCTAGGCGCAAGCAGCACCTGATTCATCCAGAACTTCTGGGTGGCTGGTGAGCAAGCAGAGAGGGGGCCCAAGGGAGCAGCATCTCCTAGGGTGGGTGAGCAGACCCTGGCCCTGGAGGCTATTTCCAGCCTCAGCACCTCACCTTTGAGGTCTTGCTGTCATCAAGGTACCAGAATTTGATATGCCGGTTACCAGCAGTGACAAAGTAGCTGCAATCTTCAGAGAAGGACACCGCGGTGACCCGACTGGACACCTTATTGGAGGCCACCACGACGTTTTTCTGGAGAGAAAGTCAAAGGAAGAATCAAAGTTCTGCCTCTTGGAGTGATGAAGAAAGAGGCTCAGAAGATAGAGGAGGATAAGATAGGATTTGTACTTTAAAATGTTTCTTTCTAGGATTTGGACTTCTTGGTGGCTCAGGTGGTTAAGAATCTGCCTGCCATGCAGGAGACCCAGATTCGATCCTTGGGTCAGGAAGTTCCCCTGGAGAACGGAATGGCAACCCACTCCAGTATTCTTGCCTGGAGAATTCCATAAACAGAGGAGCCTGGCAGGCTACAGTCCATGTGGTTGCAAAAAGTCGGACACGACCGATCAACTAACACTTTCTTTCACTTTTCAGGATTTACTGGTCAGAAAAAGAGGGGAGGAAGGAGAATCCTTTTCCAGAGGAGCTGAAGACATTCATTTCCTCCAAAGGTCCTCGGAGGCATAAAGCTAGCCTCTTTCTACCAACACACTTGGCTACACAGTTCCTCTTTTCTGCTTCAGGTCATTTTCTAGAATGTAACTGAGCAGCAGAGTGGAATGAAGGGACTCAAGTCAAAAGCTTCCTGGCTCCTCAACTGGCCCTTGGACCCCCCTGCAGGTGCTAGGCCAGCCCAGCCGGGGCCACTCACCTTCCAGGCCCAGACGTTGACGATCATGTCATGCTGGTAGCCCACAGAGACGATGTACTTGGCGCTCGGGGAGAAGGCCACACAAGCCACGCCATACTTGTGCTCCTGCAGCTCAGCCACCTGGCTGTGCTCTGCCACATCCCAAACGCGCACGGCAGGCATGTGCCCACTCTGCGGGGAGGCAGGAACGGGCGGTGAGGGCCAGAGGCACAGCCTCCCTAGCCTTTCAGGGTGGGGGCCCTACCTCTCCAGTGACTGGGCACAGTCTCTCTAAGGATCCCCTGGCCAAAGGCAGAGTGCTACACAGGCGAAGGTATAGAGGAAACATAATAAATTTCTCAGGATTACAACCATTATCAGAGAGAAAATGCTTCCAGGCTCAGTTCAGTATCTCCGGGTGAGGGTCTGCACCTCTGTATTTGTTCAAAGTTCCTAGAGTGATGCTGATGGGCAGTCAGGGTTGAGGACCACTACCACCCACGCCTATTTCTGCCCCTACTGCAGAGAGGGACAGGTGTCCCACATGTGCCCAGCAGGGGGCCCCCTGGCATAAGGAATATCTTAAGGCAGAGGTTTTCACAGTGTGCTTCCTAAACCAGCAGAATTAGTGAGATCTGAGAACTAGTTAGAAAATGCAAATTTTGGGGTCCCTTCCCAGGCCCACAGAACCAGAAACTCTGGGAGCAGGTCCAGCAATGTGTGCTTTAACAAGCACTTAGCTGACTCTGATGCCCATTAAGGCTTCAAAATCACTGTTTCATGGTGCAACCAAAACTGGGATTTGACACCGGTTCAGGACTTCCCTGGTGGCTCAGATGGTAAAGCATCTGTCTACAATGCAGGAAACCTGGGTTCAATCCCTGGGTCGGGAAGATTCCCTGGAGAAGGAAATGGCAACCCACTCTAGTACTTTTGCCTAGAAAATCCCATGGACGGAGGAGCCTGGTGTCCATGGGGTCACAAAGAGTCGGACACAACTGAGCGACTTCACTTTCACTTTCAGGAAGCCAGAGTGGCAGCAGCCCTAACCAGGCCCAGTGCTGAAGTCCTCTGCTGTGGCCAGGCCACCTGCCCTCTTCAGAGCTCTGCAGCCCCCTTCCTCACTCACCTCTCCAGTGACCAAGTACTTGCCATCAGGAGAGAAGGCAAGGGCAGTGATGGTTTTCCTGCAAGAAATGAAGTGGGCTCAAAGGGGCACGGGCAGCCCGGTCTAAGCCTGGCTCCCTCACAGCCCCCTCAAGAGGCAAGACCAGCAGACAACCAGCGGTACAGGTGGCATTTCCCTGGCCGGCCCGGGGGCCCAGCCACATCCCCCTCCCCAGAGCCACAGAGACCCCAGACAGCGCCTTCTCACAGCTCCCGGGAGATGCTCCCCGAGGGCCCAGACCCACTTACCTGGAACTGTTAAGGATGTGGTGCTGTTTGTGTTTCCGGGGATTGAACAGCACGACCACACACCTGGGGAGATGAGGAAGGCAGCCCAGCTTCAGCACCAAGCCGCGACGCCCCCAGGAGTGCCAGGGAGCTGCAGCGATCAGCTCATAGGGGCATCACTAGCCACAGAGAGCAACTGACTGCTTTCTCCTGGAAACTTGTTCTTCCTGCTTCCTTTCCCACCCACAAGGGCCACTTCCCAGCCTCATGAGGTGGAAGGGCTCCCTGCAAGATGGCTCACCACGTGCCCCAGCACCAGCACCATCTCTGCCACAGGGCAGCAGGGACCCAGGCCCTCCCAGAGCCTCGCAAGCCCAGGAAGGGGGCGGAAGGGGAGAACTCAGGCGATCTGGGCAAAGCAGGCTGCAGGCGCACACACAGCCAGTGTGGCTTGGAGTCACAAGTGTGTCAGTACTTGTGCTCCCAGGAGTGAGGCCTCTCACACGTGTGTCCACATGTATACCTGGCAAGGGCCAACCCCACCCCTGCCCCGTCCACGTGTATACTTGGCAAGGGCCAACCCCACCCCTGCCCCGGCACACACACCCCCTCGGTGCATCAGGTGATGGAGCGGGTAGAAGGCAGGGACCAGAACGGTCAGGAGGTTCGATAAGACTAGAGGGAGGGGCAGAGACAGCCTGGGAGGGCCTGGGAAGCCCAGTCCTGAGGATCCCTGGCCCTAAGGAGCCTGAGAAGGACCCTCCAGACTGCCAGAAGACAATGGAAGAAGGCTGGGAGCACCCCTCCAGCCAGAGGGCAAGGTTGGATGGGACTGGGCTCTGACTGACTTTCCAGGTAGCAGGAGTTGGGAGCAAGAAGCAGGAAGCCACAGCCAGCAATGCACTCCCTTAGGCTCCCGGCTGTCGGCAGGCTGGGTCTCACCGCCCTTCTGCTCATGGCTGCATCAGAACTGTGACTAGCTGATGGAGCAGGTGTGGAGCCTGCTGCCCCAGGTGAGGGGAGGGGAGAGATGGTTCAGACACAGCCTTGATTAGTGGGAAAGCACTGCAGCCCCCATACCTAAAACCCACCACTTGCTAGGAACTCAAAACCAAAGTGAGTACAAGTTGGTAATGACGGCTTAGCATCTCAGGCTCAATAAATGACTTTAATATACAAATTCCACAGGTAATTTCTGGGGACACTGGGATCTCTGAGGGACACCTGCTATGCCCAGAACTGCCAGGCTGACTGACAGCCTTGGAATTCCTGAGTCACAACATCTCTTCCTCTAACCTATCCCCAAATCCCTTCTCAATGCTCTTTTTTCTCCCTCCATCTTCTAATCTTTGCTTCTTTTTCCTCATTACTTTCTCCTTCTCTTTTTATACCAACTTCCAGTCTTCTACTTCCCTTCTAGAATACCATGTCAGGAGGGTTTTTTAAAACTTGACCAAAATCACATGGCTTCGGAAACTCTGTGCCCCATTACTCTCCTTCCCCTATCCCAACATACACACACACACACACACACACAAAGGGAAACTTTGTCCCCATCACTCTCCTTCCCCTATCCCAACATACACACACACACACACACACACAAAGGGAAACTTTGTCCCCATCACTCTCCTTCCCCTATCCCAACATACACACACACACACACACACACAAAGGGAAACTTTGTCCCCATCACTCTCCTTCCCCTATCCCAACATACACACACACACACACACACACAAAGGGAAACTTTGTCCCCATCACTCTCCTTCCCCTATCCCAACATACACACACACACACACACACACAAAGGGAAACTTTGTCCCCATCACTCTCCTTCCCCTATCCCAACATACACACACACACACACACACACAAAGGGAAACTTTGTCCCCATCACTCTCCTTCCCCTATCCCAACATACACACACACACACACACACACAAAGGGAAACTTTGTCCCCATCACTCTCCTTCCCCTATCCCAACATACACACACACACACACACACACAAAGGGAAACTTTGTCCCCATCACTCTCCTTCCCCTATCCCAACATACACACACACACACACACACACAAAGGGAAACTTTGTCCCCATCACTCTCCTTCCCCTATCCCAACATACACACACACACACACACACACACACACGTCCAGCTTCTGTTAGGGGCAATCCAGGATGCAGGGGGTCTAATTCCTCCCAAACAGGTAAGATTCATAGAACCTCAGAGCCAGAAGGAAGGATGGAAGGAATTAAATGCAATGTGCTGGGTAACTTTAAAGATCATCTGGTCCAACTCTCCCAAGTTTTGAAGTGAGGAAACTAGGCTCAGAAACCTAGTCTCCACTAGAGAGCAGGTCTTGCGGTGTCCTGTGCTCCCTACATCAAACACTGTGTCTGTTTGATCTGACTGTGTCACCCCTGCTGAACATCCCTGGGGAACTTCTAAGATGCAAGCCCTTAAATAAGGGCTGTGTGACGGCCCTGGGTGGTGTGGTCCCTGCCCCACTCCACCCTCACCCGTCTACTCTTCCCACCCCACGCCTTTGCTAGAGCCCCTTCCTGTCCAGAGCACTCCCCCCGCCTTTCCCAACTGGTCAACACTTAACCTCTTTCACATCTCAGGTCAGATGGCCTCGGTATATGCTCTCACAGCACAGTTGTACCAGTCTTTTGTGACGTTTATCACAACTGCAATTTAACATTGTTTTACATTTTAAAATGTATTTTATTGAAGTATAGTTGATTTACAATGCTGCGTTAATTTCTGCTGAGCAGCACAGTGATTCAGTTTTTTACATATACACACATTCTTTTTCATATTCTTTCCCATTACAGTTTATCACAGGGCACTGAGTCCAGCTACCTGTGCTACACAGTAGGACACTGATTACAGACTGCCTCCACCACCCGACTGTGTCTTTCACAAGGGTGAGAACTGTGCCTGGTTTTGCTCACTGCTGTGTCTCCTGTGCCTAGCAGAGTCTGTTAGGTTTAGTTGTTCAAAACCATTTACTGAACGGATGAATGCTCCCCTGGTCCCCTAGCTTGGTCAACTGGGGTATCCGTAGGCCCGACTCTCCTCCCTAGCATGCCCACCTGTCTCCTATGGGAGGCGACACCGAAGATCTCTGGATCCTCAGAGCAGTGAGGGGCAGTGGGGAGATGGTAAGCTCTGGAGTCAGACACCAGGGTTGGAGTCCTTGTTCTGTTATGAATAGCTTTGTGCCCCTGGGTAAGTCACAAGCTATTTCATAATCTGTTTAAAAGGAGCCTCTAAGATCAAGCTATCAGGACTTCTGTATAGGATCAAATAATTTTTTGGACACGTAGTGGGACCAAACAAATGGCAGATCTTACTATTCCTCCTCCTGGAGCACAGACAAGAAGCCAAAAGAGACTCCAGGCAGTGGGGAATGAGGTGGTCAGGGGCTATGTGTCAGGTATCTCCTTCAGAAAAACAGGGGTAAGTCCTATTAGGATCTGAGTAATGGTAAACACTTTAAAGGAAGCTTTATTTATTTCTGGGAAGGCAGCCAAGGAAAGAGAACTGGGTTAAGCTTGGGGAAAGAAAGTATCTACATCTTCATCCATTTAGGAAACGATAACCTTGGAAGGTAGCAAGGAAGGGATAGGGGGGAATGCTGAGGGAGGCTATCCCCAGGCACTAGGACAGCAGCACAGAAAGAGAAGGGAGGCGAAACCACCCGGCTAAGTTAGGAAGCACCACGCGAGGGTTTCAAAGAACTCTCAACACAATGGTGTTCCACCTCCTTCAGTAACTGGTCTGCTCTTCACACCGCAGGCCCAACAAGAAGAGTTACCATTTATCCAGCAGGTTCTGTGTAGTGGGCACTCTGCTAAGCACCTGAGAGATCTGGTCTTAGCTTATCCTCACAACAAGTTTTGTGGTTGGTAAAATTATCCCCACTTCAAAGTGGAGAAACGAGTCCAGAGGCCTTTTCAAGGCATCTCAGCGAAAGCAAAACAGTCAGGATTTCAGGAGCTGTGCTCTAAGGAAAGCAGAGTGGAGTAAGTGAGAGAAGAGAAAACTGAAACTGAAGAGGAGAGACAAGCCGAGAAAGCACACCGACCTCATGCACAGGGCGCCAGGGCAGAAGCCTCTGAGAAGAGGGAAAGAAGACTGGGGCACTGAGAGGGAAAAGGGATTCTGGCTACAGAATTCCGGGAAATCGTAACGGGGCACATGAAAATTATAGCAGTTATAGGTCAAAGTTCATAGGTCTAAATATTTAGATTTTAATATTTTATTCAGTGTATGAAAAATCATAACCCCTCAAGCCTGACACCATTAGCAAAGCCCAGCAAGTTTTCAGGAAAGCTAACATTTTCTAAGGCTAAGGAGGGCTCCACAGGCTTGTCCTCTCTGGTGACGGCTTCCGGTCTGAATGGTTCTGGGTTACCTAGCTTTCAGATCAGCTCCAGATAAATCACGGCAGAGGGCTTAGGCCGAGAGCAGATCTGACTTGAATTGGATCAATACAGATTCTGACACATTCCACATTCAGAAAAAGCAGGTGATGCAGGCGCCTTCAAACCCAAAGCAGCATGGTGACTTTTCAAGGGCAGTGCATTAGACAGCTTAACACACTCTCCAGTCATTGCACGTAAGTCTTGAGGCTTGCTGGACCGTAGCGTCTTTTGTTTCCTCCTTCCCTGGGTTTGACTGACTCCACCGTGGTGGGAAGAGGGAGAGCAGCGTGTGTGCATAAACAGACAATGTGGACAGAGGATGACAAGCTATGAGGCAAACTTTCCCTTCTCTAACACCTCCCAACCACCCAGCACAGCCTGGAAAAGTCTCTGAGTGGCATGGGAGAGTTAAGCCGAGGAGGGAAACACACAGAGACTGGCCCTTAAGCCGAAATTTTTACTTCTAATTATTCAAATTCGGGGACCTTCCAACAAAGAGAAAGAGCTGGAAAGAGACCAATCCACGGTCACAGCTCCACTTGTGAGGACAATAATGCAGATGGTGAAGGGAAGGCACGACTTGGCAAAGACCTCCAAGGTTTCCCTGTGACCACCTTGCTGAGGTCCTCCCAACAGAAGACACCTC